ATATATATAATTACTGGCTTTTGGTCGTGAATTTTCCTCAGGTGGAGCATTGAGATTGGTAACAAATGAAATCACAGAATCCTGGACCAGGTTGTAATTGGTTTTCTCTACTCTCGCAGCATCTATCGCATTACTGATTACGAATGCATTATTTCCACGGTTTAACTGCTTTCCATCTCTTTTTGTGCTGGGATTATATGGAACAGCAGAAAACTGAAGAGATTGGCCAAATTTCACCCCTTCACTGCAGTTGGCTGCTGCAAAAAAATAAATATCCACAAGTTAAAAGCTATATGGTTGATTAGCCATGCTGGGAAAATGAGAACATATTAACAAAGTTTACACCATAGGTACTATGCTTTATGGGAAGAAAAAGAAGAAGAGCTTTGACGCACTGTTAGGAATCATCTGTTCAGGAAAGAGAGACTTCAGTGGATTTGCATGTGTGTCCAATAGCTGTGGGCACACAGCTGATAAATTTGAGTTTCCTGACGTTTGAGTTTGACCCAACTGGTATGGTTGACCAAGCCTCAGCTCAATATTTGAAATTGCAACATCCCTGAAGGCACCATCCTTCCCATTTACAGTTCTGCAAACGTTTGATTCTGTACCAATGATTCTTCGGTTCTGTAAAGATGGGTGTGTAATGGATGAATTTCCATTCTTCACGGTGGGGTAGGCAATGGATGAATTTCCATTCTTCATGGACTCAACGTAAGCAGATGCAGACTGACAGCTATCTTGCAGTCCACAACCAACCAAATTTGAGATTGACTCAGTGCACTCCAATATCAGGTTATCAGCCATACCATGTAAATTGTTCTGTGAAGTGCCAGTCAAACCCTTGAGAAAAATGTTGTTGCTATCCTGAATGTTCCTTTGTTGTTTATTTTGTACAGAACCAACAGCAGAATTCTGGTTTGTAAGGAGGCTCTTTAAGAGCGCAGCACCATCTAAAGACTGCTGAGAATTTGTTGAACCTCCAGATGAGCGAACCATATGAGACAAGTCATTGGATATGTTGGGCATAGTCACACTAGATTTCGCCAAAGAGGCAGTTGCTGATAATCCTTCAGGCCAGTCCCATTCACTCCGATCTCCCGGAACCCTAATCTAAAGCATCATAAAAATATCACGATCCAGTGTTGTCGTTCTTCAAAAACATGCAAATAAGAAATCCAATCTCAATTCAAAAGACAATAATAAATTAGTCAAAAGGGGGAGAAAACATGGTAACTGACGACGCGGAAGTAAGAGTCTAAACTCAATAACTATGGTTCTTTTCAAATAAAACAAGAAATAAGGATTGGGGTTCCTAGAGTAAACACTTGAGGTTTTATCTGCTGGAGTAACTCTTTGCAACACACAAGCACACGCCTATATGTTGTGACACTGACACACATACACGCAGGGGAGACAAACATGCCCATGCATCTACAGATATGAACATAAGCATGCATGCACTTGCCCTAAGACATGCACACAAAGCCACCGGCACAAAACAATAGGGCATAAAGCAAAAGGGAAGTATTTGACATGAAGATCTTACCCCAGAATTCAGGAAGTAGAGCTTGCACCACTGGGCAATGGTCTCTCCACTGTCCATACAAACGATGTCCCCCGGGTTGACATCATATAACCCTGAATGCTGCAAAATAAGTTATAGTGATTTTTAAGCAAAATTGCAAGTCAATTTCTTTGCAAATATATATCACAATTCACAATTAGCAAATCTTTAGTATCATTGAATCACTAACCTACCTCGCAAAATTTCAGGACAGACATGTGGAGACAATGGCATGAACAAACAATTCCAACAAGTCCTGTATTGCTGAGAAGTAGATAACCACCTTTTCAAATAATAAAAATATCAACTCAAAGTTCAGAAAGTAAATTATACCTTTTCAAATAATAAAAATATCAACTCAAAGTTCAGAAAGTAAATTATCATCCAAATATCAAAGTCAATAATAAGACCAATGTCCTTAAGGCACTCACTAGTGGTTGAACAAAAAACACGAGGGCAACCATTCATAAAACCCAATGCTTTGTTAGATATAGAGGTGCTTGCTTCCATTGACTTTGTTTTTGAAGATTGAATATTTGCTCCACAAGCCTTCGCTGCCTTCCTAGTATCTGCAGCGCTAACACCATGCCATTCCCCGCTCAAGGAAAAAGAGCCCTTTACTTTCTCACTACCAGAGACCATGTCACGTGTGACTACCTTGGCCAGGTCCGAACTCTGCAGATCATACAAAACAGATTTGCTTCCAAAACTGGAGCTTGGGACTGACTTCGATGAAACCTTATGAAAAGAGCCTGCTCCGCCTTGCAGGTGTTGCCCACTCATATTTTCTGGCAGTAGCCCACTGGATGTGACTGGAATGGCACTTCCAGTACCATTCACAATGAAATTATTACTATCTGGCAGACGCTTACAAGAGGTACCCATAGGCTTTGGATTTGATAATCCTTGAAAATCACACTGGAATACCGATTGTGACCCAGATAAGAGAGCTAGAAATGAATTTCCCAACGAAGCATGTTCTGATCTTTGGGAATCTGAATACGGAATGCTCGAAAGTACAGGATCTTGTAATCTACCAAGCAATGTGGGTCTTAAATCTTGTGAGCCATGTGGATAAGAATAATAACCTGCATTGCTCTCCATCTATATTGCAAATAAAAATCCATGTTCGTAAAGTGAGAAAAAACATACCAAGATCACAAAATTAGAAAATTTAAACGCATTGAGGAATAAGCGTTTTTAGAATGGTGCAAAGTACAATTAATAAATATTCAAAGAATACGTGTGTTTCACATACATTAGGAAACAGGGCTATAAGAAAGATATAAAATATTTGACCCTGAACACAGTATCTCAAACGAACGCCCGCTTGTAGCGACAAACACCAGTTCATAAAGAATGTTGTTCCCCTAGGTTACTGTCACGGTCAACAATCACATTGTCTATGTACATTATTTCTCCTAGCAAACATGCACACATATGCATTTTTGTATTTAAGGGAATAATAACAGCGGAAAATCATAATCAAAGTAAACGGGCAACGAATCTACTAGAAGCACAATGTATCCTAGTTAACAAATACCTAAGTTTGTAACACACTCATTGAAAAGTAGAAATGCTTTGGAAATCAATAGACAAAGTACAAAAAAATTCGTAATCGAAAAGAAAAAAAGCTCACTAAAAGACTTAAACTTAATCATTCAACGCCTACAAGGCTAAAACCGTTCTCCAAGACCCCATGGTCCAAGGAAATTGTGGTCGCCCACCGTTCGATCTTATTCCAACGCTGAAGGAGAAAGTACCACAATTTTCTTGAACCATCGGGGTTTGGAGAACGGGACTCCCTACATTATATACACATGCAACTTTTTTTTTTCTTTCTAAACTGGCTGAAATGTGCTTCCTCTGACAATTTTTCTACACAGCTATCTCAATGTACAACACACTTAAGCACAAGCAATCAATTAACAGCGACTACAAAATATACTAAACAAACAATTAAAAGAGCAAAAAAAAAAAAAAAAATTGAAAAAATCACCAAAAGGACACAGTACCTGATTCCGAAGCTCCTGAGAGGACGAGGAAACCATTGACGGGAATGTCGAACTATATTTAGGCTTCCACGAGCTCTCCATCTTCCGGAGCTCCCAGAAACCCTAGCCGCCGTTAAACACCACCATCAAATGCCGGCGATCATCTCCCGGAAACGAAAATCGGCGGTCAAAGGCCGATATGTTTTCCAACGGCTACTAAGACATGGTCGCGGCGGTCAAACAAAATGGGAAAATCAAAAGCAGCAGAGAAACCCTAGGTTTCAGCGGGAGAGTCGAGAGAGAGGGAGTAGAGTGTCAGCAGTGGAGCTTGCACAGGACAGAAGCAAAAGTTTGAGAGAGAGAGAGAGAGCATCTCTCAGTGGTTCGAGGCTGGGCTCACACGCTGACGCGTGTGGCGGGTTAAACGAATGTTAGCCGTTAGATTATTAGTTGGTAATTGGTGGGTAAGCAGGGGCGATGTGGACCGTCGATTGTGAAGACAGCTTGGATTCGGTCGTTTGTATTGGTTGGGAAAAAGAAGACCAGTCTTGTTATGGTCGGGCACTGTAGCGTCACAAGTACCACCCCAAACGAGAGGGAAATGTTGAGCACGCTTTTTCTTTTTCTTTTTCTTTTTCATTCTTCTCAATCGTTTGAATAAACGAGTTGACAATTGAACTACCGAAATGAAAAATGAAAGTGTGTCAAATAGCAATAAAATTGTGCGGAATTCACTTTTAGAGGAAGTTCGAATCACGTGATTTATATTATTGAGCGATCGTTAAATTTAAAAATAAAAAAAATTTAAAGACCAAACAGCTATCAAGTTTTTTAACATATGAATACATAAGTTCACAACATAATTAGTTGATCATATCATTAAACAGTGTGCCGCCGTAGTGTAATCAATAATGCATTATGTGTTAGGTAGGAGGAAGTTGGGACCACCAAAAGATTGTGTTTGTGTTTGGACGAGGGGGAGCAATGCAACAAGTATAATAAGTAGATTTCATAACTCTCCATCTCCAAATTTGGGATGGAATCCAACTCCATAAATTGGATAAGGATATCGTTGCATAGGATGTCTTAGATTTTAGGACACACCATGATGCCTACAAAGATTGACTGAAAATGGTATTTTGTAGCCAAGCTAGCCCTAGCTATGTTTCTACTGCTAAAAACAAGAAATTGCAACATTTGGAAGGCTAATACTTTTCTTCATTCCCAATAAGAAGGAAAGTCCACATACTATTTAACGTGTCATTATTTTATTGTACAAATATTATAATTATAATTATTCATTTTCTTTTTCATCGGTTAGATATCGTATTTAAAAATATATATATTTGATATGAAAACTGTTTGGTCATCCATATTAACTTTAGCATGTTAGAGAAAATAGTTGAAGCAGAGCAGGCATATATTTTGCAACCGAATAATTAAGCAAATACCAAAAAGGTTCCACACATGTAGCGGGGACCAACTAGTTGTGCAAATAGTATTACTGTCAACAAAAAAAATAGCAAATAACTAATAAAAGAACAGCAAATAAACACGAAACTATTTATATCATCTCAACCGATCACACGTAGCATCTTGGCTAGATGGTAGTACTTTTGGTGGAACACAATTCAGAGTTCAGTTGCTATCGAGAGTCGAGTTGGTGGAAGGACAATTGGACAAAGTGCCCATCCAAGCTGGTGGCTTCATGCCAGTTTGTTCATGAACTGTATTGAACAATGGTGGCAATGCCTTGTAAACACCAGCAATCTCCTTCATAGCGCCGTTGGCACCACCGTCACCGCCTTCCCCACCGTTATTAGTCCAAATGCTAATCTTTGGCTGAAGACCACGCACGGCTTCAGCATTGATCTTAGCAATTTCTTGAAACATGCCACTGTTGATCATCATATAGTCCCTCATGGCTGCATAGTTGCCTCCAAGCGCGTCCCAAAGGGAGCGTAGATATGCGCCTTGGGCTTGTCCGAGGGCCATGAGTCCCTCAGCCTCTTTTTGCTTTGCATAACATTCTGCATCAGCAGCTTGTTGACGAGCATAGAGCTCCGCCTCTGTCGCCTTCTTCTTCGCATAAAAGTCTCCATCGGCAGCTTGTTGACGAGCAAAGAGTTGTGCCTCTGCAGTTGCTTTTTGTGCCTCAGCCTCTTTCTCTCTTTGGTAAAGAATTGCATCCGCAGCTTTTTGTTCTTTGTAGAACTCCGAATTTGCCGATTGCACCTTTGTTTCACATATGAATTATGGTGCTAAATCAGGCTCTGATCTTATGTGCATGCATGTAATAGTAATAGAAGAAAAGCGAAGCCATTATATATGCTCTATAGTTGGTGCATAAAAAGTGCATGAACTTAATTTCTCATGTGTGCAAATAATACTCCATAAGTCCACATGTATAAGTTACGCAATGCACTTTAACCCTAGTTGGCATGTTTGGGGTCCCTGCTATCAAATTCTTCTGCAAACAAGTCATAAGATTGAAACTTGAAAGTGCTTCTTGAAGTACCTTCCCAAAGCAAGAAAAGTGCGCTTCTAGTTATCTGACATAACTCCTTAGTAACTTTAATATTTATGTGAAAACGCTTTTAGTCAATTCAAAACATTTTTAAACATGTCGGTGTTATAATTAATACAAGGAGACCAATACATGCACTTCAAAATCAGCTCATACTAATACATGCATTTTTGATAAAAAGTGCAAGAACCTATGCCACAAATGGTGCAAATAAAACTCCAAAAGTAAGACATATATAACACGTACACACATATATAAGTCCTGCAATTTAGACACCCTGGTTTTGTGCATTTGTGCTTACTAAAACTCTCTACATTGTCAAAGGTGCAATGAAAGGATAAACCTTAAAGCAAAGTAATGAGTTAATTAAAAAGCTACCTTATATGTTAAGGTTTCACCAAATTTCAGAGCTCAGATTGCTATAAAAATAAAAATAAAATAAAATAAAACAAGCATATTGGAAGACTATATGAAATTTCTTTTTGCAAGTGGGAGAATGAGATCATTCAAAAAAAAAAAAGTATTATCCTTAGTAAATTATGATCAAATAACACTATTTAACATAACTTTTTTTCATCCCAATCCGATAATATGACACCAATTAATTTGCATCTATATATATATATATATATATATATTCAATTTTATTTGTTTAGAAGGAAAAAGAAACAAGCAGAAGACGTACCTTGGTTTCATACTCAACACTGGCCTCAGTCAATAACTCAGCCTTAAGCTTCTCCGTCCTGGTCAAGGCATTCATCCTCTCCACCTCCTTTTGCAACTCCGCCTCTCTCAACGCCACCGCTTTCGAAGCCTCCACCTCCGCCACATGCGCCTCCTTTGCCCACCCAGCCTTCTTCTTTGCCAGCTCGGCATTGGCCTTCGCCACCTCAGCCTCCCTAATATTCTCAAACACCTTCACCTCCGTCCTCGTCTTAATCTCCTCCATTTTCCCCTCTCCCTCCCTCTGCGTCCTAAAAATCTTCGTCTCTGCATCAATCTTGGCCGCGTTCTGCAGCGTCAACCCCTCCCTCTCTTTTGACCCTATCTCGCCTTTCTTCTTCGCCTCCGCCACATCAACCCTAGCCTTATTCGCCGCCTCCATCTGTATCTTCTGCCCCAAGTAGCTAAAATACTCATGCCCACGGACGTCCACCAACTGTTTGACATTTGCATTGTAAATCAAAAGCCCGAATTGATTCAATTCTAACTGAACCTTGTCAAACACCTCTTTCTTAAATTCTTTGGTCCCCTTGAACACGTCCTCCATCGTCATCGAGGCGGCCAGAACGCGGGTCTCACCCTCGATGATGCCCTGGACGAGGTCTTTGACGTGGCTGGAGAGCTGATCGTGGCGGCAGAGGAGCTTAGCGTACTTGTGGAGGCTGGGCACGTCGTCGACGCGGGGACCGATAGTGAAGACGGCGGGGAGGATGAAGGGGAGCTTTTCGGAGCTCATGGCTTGTACTTCGAAGGTGTAGTTGACAGGGGACATGTCGAATACGCTGCAGGATTGGCCGGGCATAATCCATGCCTTCTTTGCAAGCTTGACGTCATCGATTCCGACTCCGGTGATCACTAAATACTCTGAAGCGTTCGCGACTCTGTACCACAACATGGTTACGCACGTACGTTCTTCTTTGTTCTTTGTTTGTGGGCAGCAGTGCTTAGGGCTAGGATTTGAGATCTTGGCCGAAAATTTTAACTGTAATAGGACTAGCCAGGGTTTTTTTTATAGGTAATGCTAGGACGTTGAAACTTAATTAATAATTTAATCATCTATATCATTGCAAATTTGATTTAAAAAATTTGGTCCCCTAACATTATCCCATAAAAAAAGAGTTGGGGTTTGGATGGACTTGTGACTCCGAATATATAGTTTCTCATTGTAATTAGACCGCTAATGTAGGAAGGAGACCAGAGAAATATATCACAAAACAAGGAAGGATATAGCAAGGAGGAGCATTCCTAAAAAGATTGCACTTTCTTATTCTTTTCTTTATATATATATAATGTATCACCCGTGTTCCGGTCACATGCATTGAAAAATCTCTCGTCATCATGACTACTATTGGGAAACAACACCACCAAATTAAAATTGAGGATGTAATTCAATTTGGAGTCTTTTTTCTTATTCGAAGCAAAAAATAAAATAAAATCTATTAATGTAGCAGACAATGGGAGAAAAAAGTAGAGTGTGGAAAGGGAGTTTTGGGGGTGAGGGAGGCGGCCAGCGCAAGTTGGGGTTTTTATGGTTTTTTTAATTTTATTATTTTGTTTTTATCATTAAATAAAGTTAGTGAATGCTTTTTTATTAAAATATACAAAGATTTGAAGCCTTTTTTTATTAATTTTCTTTTCATTAATATGTAGCTGAGATATATATTATTATGATTAGAAAAAGAGTTAGGGTTTGGATGGACTTGTGACACCGAATATATAGTTTCTCATTGTAATTAGACCACAAATATAGGAAGGAGACCAGTGAAATATAACAAACCAAGGATTTCACTATTTAATTAGGAGTTGGAATCGGATAAACTGCTAATTGACCTATTAATTTGCAGTTGGCAGTGATAACACTAGGTCAAAGTAGAGGATAAAAGCTGCTCCGTATTATGTGGCCAACTATAATATCTCTTAGCATTTTCATTTGAACTGTTCAAAACCTGTTCTTTTTCCTTTTTTTTTTTAAATAAATAAAATTACTTGATTTTTTCATAAAATTACAAATGTAATTAGAATATTATCTCCTATAACTTAAGGGTGTACTGTAATCTCTTAATTAATGCTAATTATTTGCTATAAATTATAGTGCCCTCAGTTTTATATAACAGCATGGTTGTGTGTTTCACGTAAATGAGTGATCTTGTTTGATAGAATTGTTGGAGTATATTGAGCTGACATGGATCAGCGGTGGCTGAGATATATTCTTTGTCCACTCGTCGTGTGGATGACTGACTCAAGCATTGTTTCGAGAAATTTAAGATTGGAAAGGTTGGAGATCGGGAGGGTGGGATGGCCCCAGAGAAGTTATTGTGGTAGAGATCCAAGTGTGCTTAAGGCTAATATTCCCAATATAAAATATATACAACCGCGCGAGATTCAGAAATACCAACAAATACTTCTTATCGGTCACTAAAACAAAATTCTCACTGATCACTAAATACAAGAAAATCTGCAATATCATTAGCTCTAAATTAATGCATGATAGTCCATGATCCGACAGTGATGTCGTACTTTCGATTGAACACAATTCAGAGTTCAGTTGCTATCGAGAGTCGAGTTGGTAGACAAAGTGCCCATCCAAGCCGGTGGCTTCATATGCCAGTTTGTTCATGAACTGTATGGAACAGTGGTGGCAACGCCTTGTAAACACCAGCAATCTCCTTCATAGCCCCATTGGCACCACCATCACCACCCTCCCCGCAGCCATTAGTCCAAATGCTAATCTTTGGCTTTAGACCTCGCACGGCTTCAGCATTGATCTTAGCAACTTCTTGAAGCATGCCACGCTTGATCATCATAAAGTCCCTGATAGCTGCATAGTTGCCTCCGACTGGGTCCAGAAGAGAGAGCAGATATGCGCCTTGGGCGTGTCCGAGGGCCATGAGTCCCTCAGCCTCTTTTTTTCTTGCATAACATTTTGCATCAGCAGCTTGTTGACGAGCATAGAGCTCTGCCTCCGTCGCTTTTTTCCTGGCATAAAAGTCTCCATCAGCAGCTTGTTGACGGGCATAGAGTTGTGCCTCTGCAGTTGCTTTTTGTGCCTCAGCCTCTTTCTCTCGTTGGTAAAGAACTGCATCCGTAGCTTTTTGTTCTTTGTAGAACTCCGAATTTGCCGATTGCACCTTTGTTTCACATATGAATATGGTGTTAAATCAAGCTATGATCTTATGCTTTATGCTAATAAATTGATAAGCTTTTGTGCATACATGTAATTGTAATACAAGAAAAGTAAAGCCATACGAGGCATTAGTACATAAAAGTGCATGAAACTTATTTCTCAAATTGCAAATAAGATAACATGATACCCTCTGCTCATAGAAATCACAACAAAACTTTTATTAAAATTTCAAATGCATACTTTCAGAAAATACTTAAAAATGCTTTTTAAATATATAAGCATAAAAAAGTCACAAAAACACGATCAGAACTGTTTTTAGTTAGCGTAATGCTAAGGAAACTAAATTTATAGATAAAATTTATAAACTAAATTATTTCAAAAACATTCTCCCAACGAATTATAATTAATATGGGGAAGCAATACACGGAATTCAAAACTAGCTGTACATAAAAGTGAAAAGAATCTGCTACAAGTCAATTAATCCTCCAAAAGTCAACATATATGAGTTCTTCAAGTTTTGTGCTCACTCTCTAGATTATCATATCTCAATGGAATGGAATAAAATCTACGCAAAATTAAACTAGAAGCAACTAATAAAGCTACCACTTACCAGTATCAGAAAAGAAAAGAAAAACTAATCAAGCTACCTTAAGGTACAAACAGGCATTCATCTGTTACTCCATATTTGTGTTGGATCCCAATCATGCATAAGCTTTGAAATTTGGTTAAACAGTGACAGCTTCCTTGGAAAAAGTAAAAGCACTATAAAGCTTATTACTGTTTCACCTATTTTCAAAGCTCATGATTAGGATGCAACACAAAACATATGAAAATGATAAATGAACGCACTAATGCTACAGTATTAAACCAAATTTAACAATCGTCGATCTATCGTTGTATTGTTCATTGTGATTTTGGTCGCATATTTTTTCATAGCTGCGTAAATATGATTATTGTTCTCTTGGTCACCGATGTTCAAAGATTAATGGTCACTTCTGATTCACATTTAAATTTAATATTAAGGGTTGAGAGAAAACATTAAAAACACATTCATTTAATCTCAAGATTAATATTGAATTTAAAGGTGAATGACACAGGACGTACCTTGGTTTCATACTCAACATTGGCCTCAGTCAATAACTCAGCCGTAAGCTTCTCCTTCCTAGTCAAGGCATTCATCCTCTCTACCTCCTTTTGCAACTCCGCCTCCCTTAAGGCCACCGCCTTTGAAGCCTCCACCTCCGCCACGTGCGCCTCCTTGGTCCACCCGGCCTTCTTCTTCATCAGATCAGCATTGGCCTCCGCCACCTCAGCCTCCCTCATATTCTCAAACACCTTCACCTGCGTCCTCGTCCTAATCCCCTCCATCTTCTCCTCTCCCTCCCTCTTCGTCCTAAAAATCTTCGTCTCCGCATTAATCTTAGCCGCGTTCTGCAGCGTCAGCCCCTGCCTCTCTTTTGACCCAATCTCCCCGTTCTTCTTCGCCTCCGCCACGTCAACCCTAGCCTTATTCGCCGCCTCCATCTGTATCTTCTGCCCCAAGTAACTAAAATACTCTTGCCCCGGAGCGTCCACCAACTGTTTGACATTTGCATTGTATATCCACAGCCCGAATTGATTCAATTCCAACTGAACCTTATCAAACACCTGTTCCTTAAACTCTTTTGTCATCTTAAACACGTCCTCCATTGTCATTGAGGCAGCGAGAACCCGCGTCTCACCCTCGATGATGCCCAGGACAAGGTCTCTCACATTGTTGGAGAGCTGATCCTGGCGGCAGAGGAGCTTGGCGTACTTGTGGAGGCTGGGCATGTCGTCGGTGCGGGGTCCGATGGTGAAGACGGCGGGGAGGGTGAAGGGGAGCATTTCCGAGCTCATGGCTTGGACTTGGAAGGTGTAGTTGACGGGGGTCATGTCGAAGACGGTGCAGGTTTGGCCGGGCATAATCCATGCCTTCTTTGCAAGCTTGATGTCGTCGATTCCGACGCCGGTGATCACTAGATACTCTGAAGCGTTCGCAACTTTGTACCACATGGTCGCGTACGTGCGTTGTTCTTTTGATTGTAGGCAGCAGAGATGAGGGTTATGATTTGAGAACTAAGACGAAAGAAGCAGTAATAGGACTAGCTAGCTAGGGTTTTTATTAGGATTTGGGTGTTCTACAAAAACAGCGATAGGGGTGATGATTTGAGATCTTGGGCGTAAGTTGTGTAACTGACCTATTAATTTGGAGCTGGTACTTCCAGTGATGAGTAACACTATTTCGATCCAAGTAGCGATAATAGCTCCTCCGAATTAGAATCTTCATTTGAATTCTTAATACATATTCTTTTACGTTTTATTTTTTATTTAATATAAGCCACGTATTTATGGTATGAAAAATGTGGTAAGTGTACATAATATATCACTTAATACAAATTTGAAATCCCACATATATTTCTCACAATTATTAAACACATGAGACACAGAAGAATCTGAGTTTAGTTGCTAGGATGAGAATTGTCCAAAGTGCCCATCCAAGCAGGAGGCGACATGCCGGTTTGTTCATGAACCGTCTTGAACAACGGTGGCAACATCTTGTAAACTCCGGAAATTTCCTTCATAGCCCCATTTGCACCACCATCACCACCCTCTCCCCCGCCATTAGTCCAAATGCTGATTTTCGGCTGAAGCCCGCGCACGGCCTCGGCGTTGATCTTAGCAATTTCTTGAAACATGCCACTATTGATCATCATAAAGTCTCTCATGGCTGCATAGTTGCCTCCAACTGCATCCAAAAGGTGGCGTAGATATGCACCTTGAGTTTGTCCAAGAGCCATGAGTCCCTCAGCCTCTTTTTTCTTGGCATAAAATTCTCCATCGGCAGCTTGTTGACGTGCACAGAATTCTGCCTCCGCCAATGCCTTTTTGGCATCTGCCTCCTTCTCCCTTTGGTAAAGAATTGCCTCTGAGGCTTTTTGTTTGTTGTATAACTCCCAATTCGCCTCTTGTACCTTTAATTTGTTTATAAACACTGTTGTTAGATAAAGCTTTGACACAATCTATATATGGATTTGGAATTAATGGATATAAGTAAAGCGAAGGAATATGTCTATCAACCAAAAAAAAAAAAAAAGAAACTCCAATATGCATGTATTTAGTTTGTTAATTAGATGACGTAGGTTGAGATAGTGGAGGAGTCAGAAATATGCATGTTTTTTGTTTGTTAATTAGATGACGTAAGTTGAGACAGTGGCGGACTCAAGATTTCATATTAGAGTGCGTCTAACAAATTCTAAACCAAAACATCATATGGATGAGTTATATGTTCCAAAACCAAGTATCACCAACTCATGTTGAGAAGCTTCAAGAACATACCAAGGATTAATAAAAAATTAAAAGAAAGTTTAGAGGAATTTAATGGAAAAAAAGAATTGTTTATTATGAGGATTTGTCATTTTGCATTTTGTAAATTTTTCGTTATAAAAGAATGCATGATGACTTCTTTAGAGTATAAATAGTAGATCGTCACATAAAATTAGATACCTTCGTTTCATACTCAACGCTGGCCTTACTCAAAAACTCAGCTTTAAGCTTCTCCGTCATAGTCAAGGCATTCATCCTCTCCACCTCCGTTTGCAACTCCGCATCCCTCAATGCCACTGCCTTTGCAGCCTCCACCTCCGCCACCTGCGCCTCTTTCGCCCACCCGGCCTTCTTCTTCGCCAGCTCAGCATTTGCCTCGGCCACCTCAGCCTCCCTTACATTCTCATACACCTTCACCTCCGCCTTCACCTTAATCTCCGCCATCCTCCCCTCCCCCTCTCTCTTCGTCCCATATATCTTAGTCTCCGCGTCAATCTTAGCCGCGTTCTGCAACGTCTCCCCCTCCCTCAGCTTCGACCCTATCTCCCCCTTCTTCTTTGCCTCCGCCACATCAACCCTTGCTTGATTCGCCGCCTCCATCTGTGTCTTCTGCCCCAAGTAACTAAAATACTCATGCCCTGGGACATCCACCAACTGTTTGACATTTGCATTATATATCAAAAGCCCAAACTGGTTAAGTTCCAACTGAACCTTCCCAAACACCTCTTGCTTAAACTCTTTGGTCCCCTTAAACACCTCCTCCATGGTCATCGAGGCAGCGAGAACACGCGTCTCGCCTTCTATGATTCCCTGCACAAGCTCTTTGACGTGGCTGGAGAGCTTGTCGTGGCGAGAAATGAGCTTGGCGTACTTGTGGAGGCTTTCCATGTCGTCAATGCGTGGGCCGATGGTGAAGACGGCGGGGAGCATGAAGGGAAGCTTTTCCGAGCTCATGGCTTGGACTTCGAAGGTATAGTTAACCGGGGACATGTCGAAGATTATGAAGGACTGGCCGGGGAGGATCCATGCCTTCTTTGCTAGCTTTATGTCATCGATTCCGACCCCCGTGATCACCAGATACTCTGAAGGGCTTGCAACTCTATACATTTTAGTTCTTGTTTACTTAAGCAATGGCAAGAGATATGGTATGAGTGAAGGGAAAGGAGTAGAGGTATTTATATATAGAGAAATGCACAAGAGAAATAATTTATGTAATCTGATATCAATTTTTTCAACAGTTACTTCGAAAGCTGATATCGACTTGGAATTTTGGATAAACCTTGCTTTGATAATATGTCAATGGAGAAAGATGGGTTGTCACTTCAGAGGAAACTGCATGCTACTTGCTTCTTCTTTCCTTTGTTCTTAGCTTTTAAATTATTTTTTTTTATTTTTTTAAATACAAGACGTCAACGGATCGATTTCAGATCGGATCATATTACCCGTTCATTTTAACGGGTTTGACACGACACAATCCGTTAAGATATCGAATATGTCACAAAAAACGACACAAACATGAGAAAAACGACATGATTGCCAAGACTAACCAGACAAACATGATTTAATTGACAAATTTGGCAAATTCTTTAGTTTATCTTGTTTTTGGTTTTGTGTCCGCTACAAATTTGTTCTTGTTGAGGTCGTTTTCGTTACCATATTGGCAAATGCAGCTGGCAACGCAACCGTTAGAAGAGGTGCCGTACGGTACGGACAAACTATGATCCCTCAATTCATTTAAGCAAAAAATTTGTAGTTATTTAAGCGACTTCTGTGCGCTAAATTTTTGTCAATTTTGGAACTTGTCATGGTTGTCCTAGGGGCATCGATCATTTTAATGTCTTATATATGCATTTTTGTTTTGTTTTTTTGTTTTTTTCGATGAAAGAATATGGCAAACGCACGACCCGAAGACTCCCCTTGTAGTGTTGCGTCTTAAACAATTGGATTTGCCGTTACGGTAGGGCCTTGGAAAACTGGCATATATACTATATCATTCCAAGAGGTTACTTATGGTGACTTCTTTGGGGTCATCCTCTTCTCTTCTCTCCCCTCTTACATTCTCATTTTTGTCCTATTGTCTCTATATAAAAATCAATATAAGATGTTAACATAGCTTAGTCCTAACCGTTCAAATAGAAAGAGAGAAAAGAGAGATGGTGAGCTTAGAACTTTTTCGCGTGCGGACAATTCATCCACCTGGTCTGGAGGTTAAATCTTTAAATTATACGACATAAAAGTTAATAATCTTTAGTGAATATGTTTATTTCTTGTTGATGACACATCATTTAGATTGAAATTTAGTCAACAAATTTGATCTACGTAGCGTTACTCTATATTTATATAGAACAATTGGATTTGGAGAACACAAGACACAAGGCATAACACCTTGGGAAAGGACTTGGATGTGCAGCATTCCCTACCAACACCAACTACTGGAATCGTTACGCCGACAGAATTGTAAACAAAATTCATAACTGAAAATCAAAATCAAGGCATATTGAAGAAAATGAGACGGAAAACTTATCCAACTTGAAGGTCGATGCATGCAAAACAAAAAAGATTAGAGTTTCATTCGTGTCTAACTCCTTCAAACTCCCTCAAAACAAAAAAATCATTCATGTTTACATACGTACCATAAATGATACGAGTGTTCATCAAATTCAAATTCAATCCTCGACACCAAACGATTTAAAAAACATACCCATTACGACAGTTGGACATATCGGTATAAAAGCGATGGCAGTAGCATGGCACTAGACTAGCTACTAAATAATTGACTGCACTAAATTGGCAATCAATTTGGAAGAGACCCGTCACCCACACAATCGCAACAATATGAATACAAAATGATAAAAGGGGTAGCAAAATTCATGATAATGGTTCAACAAAAACCTTAATTCACCGTACACGGATCAAATATTTTAAAAGCAAATAAAATGCCAAAAAACAGTTCATCTGTCAAGAGTAGCTCAATCTAAATGCACTTCTTGCACAAAAGTAAAACTAACATACTTCTCAGAACAGTAATATCATATTCCAGTGAATGCCTTCTTCCCAGTTCCAGATGAACCGGCTGGAGTCACCTTCAACACATTAAACCTCACTGTCTTTGACAATGGCCTACAAAATTCAGAGAGAATCACCGATTAAACAAAAGATAAATTGACGACTAATGGGTAAAACAAACTCAAGCTGAAACCAATCGTAATAGTTTAACAAGCAACATGCATAAAATCTAACCTGCACTGGCCAATAATGACATAATCTCCCTCTTTCACACGGAAGCAAGGTGAAACGTGAGCCGGAATGTTTGAGTGCCTTTTCTCGTATCTAGAAATAAGTGAAAAATTAATTATCCTGTTGTTAAAAAACAGAGCAGAACTTCACTTTCTCATAGTAATTTAGCCTCACCTCTGGTATTTTTTAATATAATGAAGGTAGTTGCGGCGAACAATAATGGTCCTCGACATCTTGGCACTGTGGCAAGTACCAGAGAGAATACGACCCCTGATGGAGACGTTGCCAGTGAAAGGGCACTTCTTGTCAATGTATGTTCCTGCAGTAACATGCAAGCAGTTCTTTCATGTAAAATATGACCACCAATCTTCAAATAACACAGTCATTCAACCATTTACAAATACAAAACCACTTCAAGCATTATTCACCTCCCGACATCACTCAACTCGCTGAATCATCAAATGTACATGTCAAATGGCAACAAGCAACAATAAATTTCAAAGCATTCCACAGCATCTCTAATTTATAGTGCAAGCAAATGAACTGAGACGATACTACAATCCCACCAAAGAGCGCGAAGTATCACAGTTGTAAGATATTACTCATCATCTAGATATCCGAACTTTAATCTCAGCTTAAAAAAATGATAAATTTGTACACATTACACGAGTTCAATCAATCAGGGGTCCATGGATAATAATTAAACAACATAGCCCAAATGCTTGACAATGCAAATAATCTAATAAAAAGTAGGAAAATAGAATGAAAAACAACAATCGTAAAAGTAATCAGAGAAAAAACAAGAGATTAAAATATACCTTCTATAGCATCTCGGGGGGTCTTGAATCCCAACCCAACACTCTTCCAGAAGCGATTGCCTCCCTTTCCAGGCCTCTTTCCCTTCCCTGTCTTCTTTGAGCTGCAAAAATTCATAATATCCTCATATATTATATACCCGTTAATCTTAATATTCATGTTATTATATAAAATAAATAAAAAGAACCATTTGATTTCAGCAGAAGCAGAGGAACGAAACCACGAACCAAATCGGATCTAAAAAGCTCGAAAAATATGATATTTTGAAATAAATTGGTTACCTGAGGAAAACCTTGGGCTGCTTCAAGAAAGCCTTCTCGGTCTGCAACAAAAACAAGCACGAACAGATAGATTCAGAAAACGGCAAAGTTAGAGAGAGAGAGAGAGAGAGAGAGAGAGAGAGAGAGAGGGATCTACCTGTTCCGCCATTTTGGAGCTGGTGCGAGGAGAGTGGTGGAAGCCGACGCCGTAAGCAGAGAGACCGAATGAGCAACAAAACCCTAATCTGTGCGGAGTAAGAGTGGGGCGAATATATGCGGAAACCCTAGTTAATGTAATGACTAAAATGTCCTTGGGTCTGTTTAAGTGAGCTCGACCAACATGTTTAATAAAATTCCTGGGCTTTCTTCTGTCAAAGAATATAATGGGCCTCTTTTCTTCTTCAACACTTGGGCCTTTTGGGCTCCCTATTTTTCTGTCTTTGGGTTAGAGAAAGAGAGGAGAGACAAAATAACGTGCGACACATGATGCCACGTAATTAAAGTGAGATATTTGGGGTTAAGTTTAAGCATACTTTATAAATTACTTACAAAATCAAAGTTTAATCTCAAACATCAGATACAAAATAAACGCTTTTAACCACTTAAATTGCAAAACACATGAATACCCAATTTGATGCATACCCAAAATGTGTCGATTAACCGTTGACGTACGTGTGGCTCACATTTCACAATACATCAACTGAAAACATTCACACACACGCATAAACAATTGACCGTGGACCAATAACTCATAGCCCAACTAACAAATGAAAATTTATAAGGCCCAAACATTTTCGGCGGGAAGAAGAGAAAGCCGAGAAACGTGGCTGAGATTGTGGTCCTACGTGGACTATAGTCCCCATTGGAGGACAATAAGAGAAGGAAAAAATGGTAATTCCTCGAGGAACGAGCCGTTAAAGGCTGACACGGTTTTTGGGACCCAACACTGGCCTTTTTGAATTTCTACACCTCGCAGCAGAACTTTTCATGATTTTAATCTATTTACAGATTGACCAGTCTACCCTTCTTATTAAGTGTATTTTTGTGGGTGTTATTGTTAACAACAATACGACGATTAGAGTTTGAATTTGAAATACAGTAGGTTGAAGATGAACGTTATATTTACTAACATAAATATACCAACTTATTTTTTAGTGTTTTTTTAATAATTACCTATAATAATTATATTATTTAATATAATAATAATTTAACGGTTATATATAATTTATGTGATTACATATATTTTATACAACCTGACTATTGATTATATTAAAATTTTCCACCATACTAAAAAGCCACAAAATACATATTGAGCACTCTTCAAATAGATTTAAAATACCAACCTTAATGACTCTTTCTTTCCCATATAATCACCAACAAGAAAACCTTAAAGAGGGTATTTCTGTCAAAATACTTGTTCGGCGCAGAGCCAACTGACTAATTGGGGGATGAAAGTATCCCAACATTTCCCTCCCTCCTCCTACCCTTCTCCACTGCCTCTCTCTCTCTCACACTCTGTGACTTCTCACCATGTTAAATTACGGTTCTCTTCCCTCCTCTCTGCTTCTCCTTCTGCTCATTTTTCTCTTCCTATCTTCTCCAACTTTCGTTTTCTTCTCTCATGGGGACTCTAACTTTCCACCCCTCCAATCACCGCCAAACTCAGGTACTTACTTCACTTCACTTCTCCATGCATTTCCTCATTTGGGTTCTTCATTTCTTTGATATCATGCACATTTCTGTGATTTGTGTTCATAGTTCATTCACCAGAAAAAAAAACATTGAAACTTTTGAAATCTTTACTTCTTGCCTTCTAGGGTGTTAGTACGTTGTCCACGGTTATC